ATACACTTAAGAAAATAACACTTAAAGTTTCATTGTTTGCTTTTTTCTCGACAGAAGATAAAAAAACAGGCTATTTTGAGTTGTTAAAGGTTGAAAATTTGCAATAATTGCAATCGGATGGCTAGTATGAGCGGAACGTGCCGTTCGATATGATTGATGCGAAGTTGGCCACACACCAACCCCAAAACAGTCGAGATTGCCGCCACCGACGCCACACCGCTCGGGTGTTGGGAAACGGGTTGCCGGCCACCACTACGCTTCGCACACATGTGCGCCCGCCTTTGCGCTCCGATTGATGCCGCCGCCGCACACGACCACCGCATCGCCAGACGCCGCCGCCACACGTGCGAGCGCAAGTTTCCATCCGAACGGTTCGACGATGAATGATGGATCACCGAAATGGCAATATCACCACCACCACCACCACCATCAACCACACCAACACCATCATCGTCATTGAACGTCGCCGGAGCTCATGATCAGCCAACCTCACGTCATCACAATTCATCCCTCGGATAAAGTGCCACAGCGAGGAGTTCATCATCGAAGCGGTGATGGCCGTACACGTTTTTATTTCGTTTGCAATTAATTATTAATTAGTCTCGAAGAGGGCGCAAATAAAAATCCACAAGCTGCCGCCTAGGTAGCGAAGATTGTTGATTATTAATTAAACTTTCGACCGAGCGTCCAATTTCGCCGCTTGCGACATTACCGACGAACGCATTCGGACATGTTTCGTTTGAGTTTCTGTTTCGAGTCCGGCGCAGTTTCCGGAGCTAGGTACATTCGTCCCAATGCATTCCTTGTGCACGTTGCTGGCGTGTGGGAAAAAAGGCAATTAAAACTAAAGTGTTAATTAAAACGACTGGTTTTCTTTCAATTGCGTGTTTGTTGTGATCCACGTTATCATTTTGCTTCTTGCAAATTTTGCAGGTGATAAAAAACGTGCTGAATGCGGCAATGGGACAAAAGAACATCGCAAAAATGTTACAATAAACTTTAAACTAGACTCTTCATTATTTTTCCGGTTTGTTGGCGGCGTGCATGCTCACAATCGAAACGAAAGAGTTTCCAACGCGGGGCGTTGAAGTTTTGTATTTGTTTTCGCAGGCGCAGGTGTGAAAACGTGCCGGGAAACGCGCGTACGAAATCAAAAAGTACCCGGAAGTGTTGCAAGTTATGCAAAGTTCTAATTAAAACTTTCACAATAAAGAAATCCGAAGCAGACACATATGCAGTGAATTTTTTTTCATTAAAAATCTAAAACAATGAATAAACAAAAAATGTCCTCTGGGTTTTTGAAATGTGAATTTTAGGAAGATGTCTAAAATTTGCTTGCAATTTAGAAAATCTCGTGATGTAATTTTAACTTCCTCGTTGCGCCGCTTTCCCACATCCGACTTCCGCATGGTCTATATTTAGAAAAGCGACGCGCTCCCTTAATGCTCCCTATCTGTGCTGTAGCTATATAGGTGGGTTGCTTAAAGTTGCGGCGAAATCCGCCGAAGTAAACTTGCTCGCGCCGGCGAGCTAAGGGGATGAATGACAAATAAACCGGGAAATCCTATGAATTACAAACGAGTAAACCGACGAGCGGGGCGCGCCGCACGCGCAACACCAAAATGCATTAAGATACAACCAACACCACCACCAGTAGCAGCAACAGCCGGTTGTATCACGTATCCGTTGATAACCAACCAAGCAACTGGCATGATGTGAGGAAGTCAGCTGTTTCGTAGAATACCACTACCAACAGCCAACTAACAGACCAACGTGACGCTTCCAGACATCAACAGCTCAGAACCTCACTCAGCGCCCCAGCTTACAGACCTTACAGTTCAAATAGAAACGTTGCACTAGTTAGTAAACATTCCCGGAAACCGGAAAAATTCCCCAACGAGAACACAAAAAATCAAAAAGATTCCTTTGATGCGGCCTGGGTTGACCTGAATGCGCGGAAAACTCAGTGCCGACATTAATAAGATTTCCGGAAATTCTTAGCGCCTCGTATTCCCCCATCATCAAAGTTTCAGATTGACTTGATGAATCTCCTCAAGCGTCAGAGGGCCACAAGCATACCTTCTGATCAGGATATTAAAACTGAAATAAAAATGTTCATCCCCAGGAAGATAAAAAACCAATCTAACTATTTGAACGTACAAGTTATGCTATCGAATAATCAAAAGAGTTTTTTCTTGCTTTGTGTGTGTGTGTATGTTGGAGAATTTCTAATTCTAATTTTACACACGCATTGGGGAAAGCGCATTAGAGACAATCGAATGAGAAAGGTCTTTGTTCCACGTCCCGAGTGTCCTGTCGGCAGGAAGTGTCGACGAACGAATCGCCGCGCACGCTTTGCCACCACCGCTCGCAGCGCACACAATCCGGGAGACGACACGATATCATTAATAATAATTAAGCGTGTTTGCTACTTATTTCGTGTTTACGCTTTCTTTTAGTGCGCTCCGCTTCGTCCAACTACTTTTTTCGCCTTCCTGCGTTCGCTCGCATAGAGGGGGTGTCAATAAATCAATTAAACTCGGTGTCGGAACCGTTGAAACAAAATAATCGATTTTACGCCCACTATGAAGCAATAAGCTCTAAAATTTAATCAAATTAATGAAACAAATAATAACTAATCACGTTTTATGCATTTTTAGAAGTTTGCCGAGGGTGAATCTCGACTTGCTTTTTGTTTTCGTCTCGACGACTCGCGGCGCTCATTTTTCCACGTTTATATTTTTATTTCGTTTCATGTGCACGCGCCAAAACGCTTTCCCATCCCGGCGTCCACCCCTCAACCCCCGGATTTGGCTGGGTGTGGTTCTGACTGTTCTTCGCCAGCGCGAGTGCATTCGGGCAGATTTAAACCGTTATATAGGTCCGCGCAAAAAGTTATCTCGGCGCGGCTTTAGACTCCGCGCTCTTGCCGCGGGGTGTTGTGGATAATTACGCGGTTCAAAAGAACACACAGGGCTAGAGAAAGCCGAGAGCCGCCGCCACCACCAACGCCGACTTACGGCGAAGACCAGCTGAAGTCTTATCCCAAACTCACAGAGTCAGTGTAATTAGTCGTCACCGACCAAAACGCTCTCTTAAGCTTAGACCTACGGAGTTTTCTGCGAAGACAAAATGCTATCACCCCGTTAAGAAAAAATTATTCATTAGAAAAAAGGTTTTAAACAAAATAAATCGCCTGGAAATGAGTGAAAAACGGTCCGGAATTGAAATGCGTCGTTCTTTAAAAGGCGAAATATGATGTTTGCGCGCGTCTGGGATTGATTGGGAAGGTGCGCGCCCGGGTCCGCGAGAGTAACCTGGGCAACAATCACCTGCGGCCAACAGCATCGACAACGAAACCTTACGATATCATCATCGTGCGCCCTCTCGGCCGGGGCGAAAAACAAAAATTCCAACTCCCACGACCTTCCACCTTTGCTGCTGCGTCTACTTCATCTCTCTCTCGGCTCGCTCATTGTTTTCGCAAATATTTACGAAATAAACAACATCAAGGTGATTTTAGAGTAGAGTACCTGTATCTAAACTCAAAAATAAACAATATCCATGCATAATAAATGCGCTGTTGCGTTTTTTTGCCTCTTCTTCTAGTTGCAGTTACTTGTCTTTGATGGCGGAAGCACGCTGGTGTCGTTCGCATGGAAAACCCCAAAACGAGCGAGGTGAATCGCGTACGCTTGTTCTTCCCAACCGGGCGCACTTCCGTTATTGCCATTCGCTCGTCGATCACGGCCGTAATTTTTGCTACTTGAGAGGACATACGACGTCGTGACCACTGGGCCGGAAGGCCTGCATTCGCTGATAATGCGTGCACTGATCCCGAAACTGAATCCCGGCGTCGAAACACATGTGCGCTCGCTACTCGCTTTTAATGCGCTCGCGATCATTTTTCATGGACTCAACAATGGGGAGAAACACTGGAGAAAACACTACAACAGACCACAGCATCGGCATCTAAAAATATCGCCTATATAATATCACTTCTTTGGGAGGTTTTAAACACTCTCCAATCTGGATTCGTAAATATCACAAATCTAAAAACACAAATATTGTATTATTGATATTCTCTATTGTAGTCAACTTCATGCATGACAACACCCGAGTACCAAACTGAATATCAATGATGTTATATTGAAATTTCATAAATTCGTACAATAAAATTGTTATTGGATTTGCAAGCTAAACTCACATTTCCAACAAATCTTCATTCCACCCAATTGTTATTTCCAATGCATGAAATTCCCCATGAAGGAGACGAAATAAAATGCGTCCCGAGGAGCATATTAACAAGGATCACTTAGATCCGGAATGTCACATACTAAAAACAAGATCATTATTTACCTCCCCGCGCCGTCCCGCACGCGAATGGAAACAGTTTGAGTGGTAGCAATTACAGCGCGCTCGTATTCGCAACGATAATTTAAACATCATTAATTCGTTCCTTAATAAAAGGTAAAGAAGGCCGAATTTTCTGCCGGTGCGCCATTCTACTACCCGCCGCCTGTGTCTTGATTCCGCGGCGGCGCAGGTCGAGGCACGTCGTTACGCGGGGCACACTAAAACAAACGCGTTTATTGAAGGGCAGCGAATAGGCAGAGTAATTCGACTATATCGCGATTGTTCCGGCGAAGAGTCGCAATTAAATTGTTTCATTTCCGATAGGATTTTTTCCTCTCCTCTTCTGCTTTGCTTCGACCCCTGAGGCGCCGGCGGCGGGTACGCATCCCGACTGCTAGAGAGGGATGTTTGTTGTGCCTTGGCTTGTTTTCTTCTTTGAGAATGGAAGCAAAAGCGGCATCTAAAGAAAGAGTAGGAAATACAGGCGGAAATTTCTATTTCTATTATGCAATGTTTTTTTTTCACCAAAAGTTTTTTTGGGTTTCAATTAATTATAATTAAACATGGTCCAGATGCCCAAATATCCACTTACCTTTTGAATCAGCTTAAAATTGGAGTTGTGGATACAATTTTGTATTGTACAGTTGTTTGTCTTTAAATAAAATTATTTAATAACATAATTAGCTATGCAGTTACAGTCACCTATGTAACGAACTAAAGGATGCTAGAAAATGAGATAAATCTAAGTTATATACATAAAATGGTCAACCTATAAATCAAACAATAGTAACGCTACCCGCGTTTTGCAAAATGTACAAACCAAACGAATTCTCCTTCCCCCCGCGCTCATTTCTAATGGACGTGTGTGCGTGCCTTACGCTTCAACTAAAATAACAAACATTTGATTTCAGATTATATACACCAAGCTCCTGCAAATCGTCGACGCCGCCATTTTGTTTGTCACATTGCGCTGACGTCTGTATGCATACATATTTTATTACCACCAATTTGTTGATTTAAATAAACTATCAATAATTAAAGTCAAGTGTTCAAGTCCAAGTCGATTCTGGTTGTCATGTGTGAAGATCCTTCACGGCCGTGGGCGCCGGCAAACATAAAAATTGTATACAAAACCCGGTTTGAAAGTGAAGATAAAGAATAGACTTGTTTGCAGAGGCTAGCCGCACAACGCACTAGTCATAGGTGTCATCGGAGCCACCTGCGGGCCGAATATCCGTGTGCGTCTGAGAGGCGGCAGCCATGGCGCGCACCTCCAGGGTCTCCGATGGCACCTGGGCAGCATTCGATTCGGCGGGCGCTGGCGTGGTCTGCACCGAGTGCGTCGAGGTAATCGGCTGAGCAGACGTGCCCACGGTAGAGGTAGCTGTCGTGGACGTTGATGTGGCCACCTGATTGACCGTGTTCGAGGTCTGTGTGGTCACCGTCGAGCGCACCACTGAGATGAACTGCGTGAGGCGAGTAAGCGGGTGATGCCCGCCGAAACCCGCCGACGGATTTAACCCGCCCGCAGCTCGATGGTGGTGTGAGTTTCGTAGCAAGAACTGCTGAAACTGCGCCTGCTGCAGAATCACTGGCAACTCGTAGTGATGAAAGAAGTACACCATGGAATGCTAGAACAGGGAGAGAAAAAATAAAGGTTGGACATAGATCTAGTATATGTAAGGGTTGTTGGATATTATTTGCGCACCGAGTTATCAAATATTCAAGTTTGGGGCGCATTGTGTTTTCCGATTCGGGACATGCGGCTCGAGGCCTTGTTACGAAAGTTTGCCCTTCGCCCCGGAGCCGCGGACCCGCACCCCGGCCAAGGTCCAGGTCCAGGTCCAGGAACGTGTGTGCACACACACCCGACTTCATCAACATCATCATTCAAATTCACTTTGTTGGCATGTTGGCCGGTAGCCATGGGTAGCCCCTGTCAGCATGCATTACGCTCTTTATAAGCCCGTATTATGTAAGGTGTGTGATGAGTTGTGGCTCGATGTATAATTAGAGATAGAACACGGGAGGAAGAGCGCGCAAACTCACGTGATAATTATTCATCAACGCATCAAGAGATGTTAGCAACTTTCTGGGTTCGGTGGGCTTGCGGGCGCGCATGAAATGTGAGATTTTTTCGACAATCGCCTGACAGCACTCCATATTTCGGTGTCGGTGTGTCGCAAACGTCGCGTGTCGAAAATCAATAAGCGTGGATCGCTTCGGCCGCGATTTCTCGCGCCGGCACATCACCAAGGTGATGCCATCATCGCGACGCCCAACGACGTCAGACAACCAACAAAATAAAACAAGAGAAAACCCTCGACACAAACAAAAATACGCGAAATTTAACTAATTACAAACACCTTATATGTTTTTGATAGAATTTGAAATCGATTCAAAGAAAATTTTCTAGTAATTCGAAAGAAAACTTATGATGATTGACAATTTTATTACAAATCACAAAATCACATCAAATACCAACAAATTGAGACGACCATTTTAATGCATAGCTGCCGCCCAACTAATACCCTCCACCAGTCTGCCCTTAAAAGTATCACAATACCGCTTGAATGCTCAGAAAAGAAAATTCCGCTACTCTCTCAGAGCAAGAGATCTCAAACTTGTTATTTTCTGCATCCTTGGTGTAGGATAATGGAGCGGTGGGCACAGAATCACAGTACGAAATAAATACGGTTGCGGCTTAGAAAAATACCCCCGCCACACACAAGTAGGACACATTGGGACAAGCATAGCCGGATGATGACGGCGCGGTGTAGATGTGGTGTGCTGTGGAGAGAGAGTTTACCGTGCGCGAGACTGCAGCCGTGACATGCGGAAGAAATTAAACTGGCAAATAAATATGAGTCTGTCGCGGTCCGCTGACCGGGAACGCTCCCGCGGGAACCCATCCGGGATTCCTTCCGCTGCACGCAATATGAGCAATTTCGCCAACATTTCCAACTAAATAGACTACCGCTACTAGTTTTCCAACCCATTTCGCAAATTTTTCGCATTCAACTCCCGTCTCACCGTGTATCCGACGATTGCTAATTTCAGTTTTAATCTTCATCACCCTAAACAACCAATCGATGCGCTCTATTCTTGCGATTTTCACGCTCGGAAATTTTCAAGCGATTTCAAGCGGCGATCATTTTTCATTAATATTTCCTTCGTGCTCCTTCATTCTTCATGATTCTTACTTTGGGTCGCTGCTGCCGGAACGTTCGGTTTCGATAAAATGGTCGACCGCACGCCTGATCTCCTGATCGGATTGGGAAAACCTCTCGCGAGTTGCGAGGAACGCGCGCGCGCCTCGAAATGATGAAAATGGTCAGCAGGGCGTGAATGGAAAACAATGCTGGCGGGTGGATGATGATGGAGAAGGAGAGGACCCCTCCGCGCGCGCGGCTCGCGCGTCTTTCAATCGCCGCCGATCGCCATCCGCCGCCCCCGCAACGCAAAAAGCGCGCCCGATTCGTTCGAGTTGCGCACGTTGTTTACTTGTTGCTGAAATGAAAACTCATAGACTGCAAATATTTGCCGTGCACATTTTCGATCTCAATTATAAATCGAATGAAAGCGCGCGCGCCGGCACAGTCGGCGCGCATGTAACCAATAATAAAGCAATCGCGCAATCGGCGGCCGCGCGCCACCCACCCACCGGAGGCAAGTAGGGATCGTGGGAAATCGTAGAAATACTCCGCTATTCTTTTTTCCGAGACCGATCACAAGGCTTGAGGGCTCGTTTTCTTTTCTTGCGTTTTTCATTTCTTTTTTGCCATTGCCTCCACACAACCACTACCACCATGGCACGGCGACTGCTTCGATTCCTCCGGATTCCTTTGCTTTTCTTTATTTACTCGTCAATTCTCCTCTCTTCGCTCGCCACTTGCCGCGCGTCGCTGGAGCGTGTGTATTTTAAGAATAATAAAAAATATTGCGAAAACCCGACCTGAAAAAGCGCAATGCATGCACACAATTCGAAATAACAGAAACCCGAAAAGTGCGCGAGCTATTTTATTACTCAAGTTTCTTTTAATTCTTTTCCCGGAAAAAAACCTTCAACAGCCACGATTTCTGCAGAAATTAACACGGAATTAACCATAAAAGTGCACAAAATTAAATTTCAATATTTCATCGCGCAGGCAGACGTCACAGTCGCAGCCATTGTGCGAAAATGTTCATCGATTGCATCGACGTCACCCTTCACTCCCCAGCGTTCGGATCGTGGAAACGTGACAATATCATGCACTTGTCAGTTGCACTGCTCCGGGGCGAAATAACAAGCGTGCACAGTGCGCGACGCCCGGAAAAGACGTGCGTGCGATTGTAAAATGTTGTTACAACCTGCAAAACGCGCTACAAGCCAAAATAAACCAAATAAGGCAGGCGCACACATATGCAAGTAAAACGCGTGCGATTATTAGCGTAGGCTTGCCTCCTTCCGGAATTGGTATTGTTTTCCCGAAGTGGGGAAAAGTCAAAAACCTAATGGAAATGTCAGGATTTAGAAAACTACATATGAAACAATTCCTATTCGTATTTAAAACGGCTTCGCATTTTTCTGTCACTCGGGGCTGGCTGGCTGGCTGGGGTACATCACCATTTCCGGTTTTATGTTACAGCGCGGAGAGTGCGCGCCCTGGCAAAGTCACAACAAGAGTGGAATTTTCGATCGACGCACAGACGAAACAAACACGGATGGGGAAACAACCGCCCGCGCGGATGGGGACGTGAACGTCAAAAAGGTCGAGAGGAGACGACTCGAGGACGGCGGCGGTGGCGGCGTCGGCGCGGAGGCGGCACACGACAGTCAAAAGGCACAAAATTCCGGAATTATTTCATTAGAGGCGTATTGTGAGTCGCGACACGCTTCATACGTCGATGGGAGGTCACAACGGGAGAGTGCTCTCACGACAAACACCACACTTCTATACAGTGTGTTTCGCAAAAAAAAAAATTCAAAACAAAGCACCTCATTACTTTAATCCATACTTGAATCAAATATTACTCCGGATTGTTCAAAGGCTATTTAGTGATCATTTTCCGCACTTGTTTACTACTTACGCAAATATCGCATCTTCCAATTAATTATCTCGCTCGTAAGCGGCGAAATGACGAATAACAAGCGGAAATTAATTAACAAAAGAGTCATTAAACGATTTATGCATTTCGGGCGACTCTCTACCTGTCTGTGAGCGAATAGTGAGCGCAAAGAGTACAACGCTAGCCGAAGTCGCGAAGAACGCTCGTAATATTTGCATTTAATTGGCAATTACTTAAAAATCTTTGCTCGTCTCCGACAAGAGAAGAGAATAATTGCATCAATAAAGGCCGGCAAAGCGCAACAACAAATAGACGACAAACAATATTCAACAACTGATATCTATAGCACTCAATTAAATAGTTATCAAATTTTAGCAACAAAACTCACCTGAATAAAGAGCCACGATGTCACCAGCGCCAATCCGCTGTACTGGCCGTTGAACCGGTAGTGATAAGCGTAGAATGAGAAGTGATATAGGTAGAAAAATCTGTAAGTAAAAACAAAAACATCATTAGACAAAAATTCACGGAGAAAGAAGATTTCTTATACATTTTAAAACAAAATAAATTATAGTGAATCGTAAAGTTGAAATGCGAGCGTAATTAAACCTTCGGACGGATGCGCGCGCGCGTTTAATAGACACCGAAGAAGAATAATGCCCAATTAGTCTTAATTGGGTGTAATTCGAAAATGGATTGTCAACGGTACCACCGACGAGTATATTTGTACCTGTTGTTTGCTTAATCTTATACAGGTCGATAAAAAACGCAATAATTCACATATTATTTACCCGTAAAATACTATACATTATCCACCCCTAACAAAAAAGTGATGTATATGATCCATTATACAATATGGAAATGTAATTAACCTGTAATAATACATCCCGCACAAAATATGTTATTTTTTAATTGTTGAAATTTATTTGCTCGCGAGTTCTTGAAGTTCCGGCACTCCTTGTGCAAGCTAATGCAGTTGTAGTGGCGCCCGAGGGGGTCGCTTGACTTTGCGACGGTGGCGCTGCTCCCATTTATCTTTATACCACTGCATTACACGGCATTTCGATTACCCACCGCGGTGCGCGCACCACGTTCGAATAAAACTGCCCACAACACAAACACGGTGAATATTATGCGCGCTTAGCCACACTGCGAAACCACCCCCTGGCGGCCGGTGCACACTGTGGGTAAACAATACAAGGTACAAGCCGGCGAAACGCCGTTAGTTGTTGATAATCGATGCCGCGACCCATTAAAACAATTACGAAGAAAGCGTCACTAACGCAAAACACACACATCGATACCTACATATTGAGCAAAAGTGCATAATACAAGAGTAACATTTGTCAATAAATATTGTTATTATTATCGTTCGATTTGATTCGACATGACTCTTACATGCAATCATGTTCAATCATTGAATTAAATTATTCGGCGCTGTGAATTTGTAATTTGTAATGTGGAATTTTAAATAGACGAATCGATAATCCTTAATTCAAAATATTGGACATTTTAACAACTCGCAGTTAATATCTGAGTGTAGTTTCGGTTAGTGCGCATCAATTAATTTGCAATTTGCGCAATCGCATTCGGGCAATTAGAGTCCTCGCCGAAATATGCAATTTGCATGATGTCACCATCGCAATATGAAAAATTAATTGTCCGCAGATATTTCCAATTAATTGCGATCCACTACAATCATTTCTGCCGCAACATCAAACATCATCTACATTAAGTAAATTGATTTGGACGAAGTTCGTAATTACTTTCAATTGTCATTATCCGACTAAATATTAACAACATTATGAAATATGTACAAGTATTGGCAATTTTTTCGCGCGTAAATATTTGACCGGATATTGAATTACCTAAATGTCTAATCCCGGAACTATCCACTTCCCCCGATGATGATGATGATGATAGCGTGGAGAATATGTTTGTTTGTATATCTGAGCAAACGCAAACACAAACATAATAAAAAATATTAACGACATCGGCACGAATATGGCACACACACATCTCGAAATCGTCATCCTAAGAAAGCACGAAAAAACACGAATGTACCGCACGTACGCTTCCTTTCATGCGTGTATCAATCATTGATTGGCAACAAGGCATCGGCGCACAATGGCAAGCAACACTACGAGTCGCGCCAAGAAAGCCTGATAATGTGCCAAAGCAGAAAAGCGGATGAAAATCTAAGAATGGGATGTGAAAAGGACGCGTGAGGGTGAAAGCAAAATCTCGACGTGTCGCATCACACTCGGGCAGTCAACTGGCTGAAGGATAAAATTGCTATCAAGCTAATGAATACAAAGAATATCTAAAAATAACAACAACAGTTAAAAAAAAAACATCCCCTAACATCAGCAGCATGAGTATAAGTAACCATATTGAATACATCGCGATATAATAATAGAAATAACGAGCAACTAAAGCTGAAAATACCCTCTTAGACTACCAAAGGCCTGGTTTATCTCTCCAGCCGGGTACCTATGAGGTGCAAATATATTTCGCGACGCTCGACGCGCATCCAAATTGTACGTGCGCGCCGTGCACGTGAGCGCCAGCGTCGACACGTGCCGCCCGCGCACGTGAATTCACATCTACGTGTGTAAGCGTAGATGATGACGCTGACAACCGGAGCTAAACATACCTCCAATCATATCCTATTAGCGTGCTTATGACACAATTATTTTGAGCAAACAATTCCTTAGTATAAAACTACTGTGTATAAGACCAAGCTAAGGCTTTGTCATTATTTTCCCTCTTGTATAATGATAATAATAATAATAATGACATAACCAAAAGATACGCGTGCTTTATCTAAGTTAATGAATGGATTAGCAATAGACCAAATACTCGATCCACAAACAGATGTATTAAGCTCGCGCGATTCAATAATAATAATCTCCGTTGATTAGCCAAACAACCGCTGCATTAAATTACACTCCATTCGGGCGCTCCCGAAATTACTCGTAATTAAGTGTAATTCAATGATCGTGATTAGCCGCAACTCTTTGGCCGCATATTAGGCGGTAATTTATGAGCACGCCGGCTTCATAAAGCCGGCAATATGAAAAAGTGGGAGTTAACGCATGGCGTCAGGACGTCGCACCCACACATTCATATTCACACACAGGATGAAAAACTCCTCAACCATCGACATATTATACATGCTCGAGCTGATGTGTATAGAGAGATGACTACTGCGCGGGGTGGCCGCCCCCGTTGATTGGGGTAATTTATGAGGATACCCCGGTGTCGATCTATCATCGGCTAATGAGGCCTCAATGGGCACTAATTCTAACTAGATGCCTTGGGCGTCGGAAATGGCGCGTTACGCTTGTTTGCGTTCCGCATAACCTCACCCAAAGAGGACGACAAGTGGAGAGATCAAGTATGGCGCTTCGCTTTTTATTGCGTAAGTAAACATCAATGACACGATAATGATGACAATCATCGCTAATTTTGTTGTGTTTCGTATTGTATAGTCGGAAGTAGGTATTGCTTACACAACGTAATTTTCCAACTAGTTATAAAACATCCCTTCATGTTTTTTCGAAAGGCAAATGTCGTAAACGTTGCTCCTTGGTCTTCTAGGAACATTCATTTCATCATTTCCCTTCCGAGTTTCGTACTTTCTTAGTTCTCGCCGTGTCTGTGTGTCTGTTTTTATTCCTTTGAAAGGCATCAAATACTGGCGCGGAATGCCGGTGCCGCTGCCGCCGCCGGAAATCGCAGCAACACAATGCCGGACTTACGCGCCGCATGCGAAAAGAAATCCGGCGCCCACGAAAGCAGAAAAGTAGAAAAATATGTTATCTATTGTCGATGGATTTGAATATGCTTTCGTCTCTGAATTCGACCTCCTCTCCTCGCGCCGCGCACACAGATCTCCCAGCGATCGCGATCTGCTGCCCCGAGATTGAGATGCAAACGCGACATCGCTCTCCTTTGAGCGATTTATTCCATTTGATATCATTGTGGGAGTGGATCATCGCGTTCGCATCATTCGCATCATAACGCGCCCGGCGTATTTTCCACGGTGCGTCGCATTTATCCAAGCACGACCAGGAATTGAATTGCGAAAGAATATCATCCACTTGCTCCTCGCGCACCCGCCCCCGGGACTACACGTCAGATGTGCATACATTTACAGCCGACGTTTTTCGAATTTCAAGTGTCTTTTTGAATTTTAAAAATTCGCGACAAATGCGCAACTTGCCCATAAATTTTATTTCCAGCGAAATAAAAACACACTACGTGCGTGTGTGTATACTATGAGGGGGCGAAGTGTTTTAGCATGGTTAATCGATCGGAAAACGAGTTGTTTCCGTATTTATTTGAGCCTACGCTTCGACTAAGAATAGAAAAGACTTAAAATCTGAGTAACTCGGTAACCAAATCATTATTATACCTACGCATAGGCTCAAAAGTATCAGTTTGGCATCAAACCTATAAAATATACCCGGTTGTGTATTGTGGTAATCTTATTTTGTGCGCGGCCAACGCATTAATTCATTATTTGCTCGCAACAATAACAAATTTCGGGGAACAACACCGAAAGCCTATTAGAGCTCCGGTGCGCCATTGAAGGGGCGCGCTGGAAGATTTGCCCAATTATAGTTTTAATTAGAGTCGATACAATAGTCATAATTCAAAACTCACCCACAGCATTAGCAAACCTTTCGTTATTATACCTACTCTACATCCGTTAATTAGCGGCGAAGAAAACAATGCAAGTGGTACGGATGGTTGAAAATAGCCCGTTTCGCAAATAATAAAACTGTCGTTTTCCACTCCCGATGACTTGCATGCGGGAGAGTGTTTAAGTAGATTAGGTTCGACGTAACGATTGATCGGTTAATTAAGTCGAAATCAACATGGCGCTCGCAATCCTATTCTCCGAATGCAGCCGCGACAGTCGTCGCCCCGGTTTCGAATTAATTCGAAACGGATGTAATATAGTATCTGTCCGGTTGACTGGTTTCGGATGCCCCCGCGTCCGTATCGGCGCGGAAAAGCGATAATCTTCGGATAATTGAATCCAGCCGGAATGTAAAACGGGCGACAGTTAAGAGAGTGGTCAAGTGATTGTCGGGCGACTAATGGCGCGAGCGCGCGCGCGCACGCACACATTTGCATGATTGTCACCCCCTCGATGCAAAGCAGGCTTTAGGTGTTAGATTTTAATAAAACCCTCCGGGTTGAAACACGTCTTTCGATGCGGCCATTACCCGCCCCGCATACTTTTAAGCGTTCGGGAATTAACCGCATAATTCAAGCCACCCTCGGCGGGCGAAACGCGACGGAATGCACACACGCATACACATTTACACCCCTCCGAGCTCAATACTTTCATCAATGTGCGGAGGCTATTAGCCGAGTCTTCGACGTCGAGACGTCTACGTCGGAGAATCGAAGTCCTTGGGGGTGCAAACCGACCACGACTGCGGGAGGCCAGTCGCGGTGTGCAAGAGTAGTGCGTGGGCACGACCGCCCCCCGTATATTAACAACTTTATTGCAAAAGTGTGTCCTGCAAAGTGTACACAACGAACAATTACATTTATAATGCATTAAGCAAACAAGAAAGGCGCGCTGTGAAGGAAGCAAAGCCTTTCCGATAGACCGAGGGAGTATTTGCACGACCACTTCTTCCACGTCTTTGCGCTTCGATTCGAGTTACGGATCGCGATTTGAAGAATTAAGCCTCCGCCGCCGCCACCGCCGATCGCAGAATGAATGCTTTGCGTCAACACTCGAGGAATGAGTAGAAAAAATTACGCTCCAAATAATTGCAGACAACGTTACGAAATTACTCCCCGTGGCCAGAGGAGTTGGAAGAAAAATTGCTGAGCGTAATCATAATCTATGGCTGGAGGCGGCGGCGCGCGTGGCGTCCTTCAATCCGCAAATCGTAAAATTTTCAATTATCGCGTGAAAAATCAAGAAAGAAAATCCTGCCTTCCAGAACAATAAAAATTATTATTTAGCACTCGGCCATGACAGAGGCCGCCGCCGCCGCGAGAGAGGAGAAAAGTCTCGTATTTCCGGGTGCGTATTTCGTCGACGTCCGCCGCGGATAATACGTCATTTTTCTATCGGAGCTTAGCGCCGACGGCGAGATGGTTTAATCACGAAACAAACAAAAAAATAAATGCGAGCCAGCAGCAGCAAAGACGAGAGAAGAGGAAACAACAAGGATGATGCGCAGGCAGGCGGGTGGGCGGCGGCAAGGGGAAGAGGCGGTAAGCGCAATGAGGATGGAATGCCAGATCAAACGCACGCGCACGTTCAAAAATAATTTGCTTATTGTACCGAAATCAACTCGCATAAATCCACCTGGTTTACACCAACAATTATACAGCATGTCTCCAAAACCAACGTAAATCTATCAGAAAACGCAATAAAAATCAAATAGAATTGAATGGCAATGCAATAGAAATATAATAAACTATTTATATACAGATGGTGTTAGTTTAGAACAAAAATGACGCCCGTGTGATTATTTCCGATAGCCGGTATGAGTGGTGATTCCATTCGGCGTGTGTCTAACTAACTTAATACGGCATAAAACAAGCGCCGATACAAAATAATACACAATACCATAAAGCAAACGCAAATTGCATTACCGCGCGCGCGGCGAAGCGCGTCCCGGGGCCGGACATTTTAATCCTTTTCCGGGGCGCAGCGCACGAACCGACGCCGCACAAAACAAACACCAATTGTCCGGAGCGCGCGCGAGATGAAAACGTATGCGATCGAAATTCCACCGCCGCCGCCGCCGCTCTTTTGGCGCACCTGCAAAGAGGACTTTGTCGTTATTGTTATTATCGGCAATAATATCGGCGATCGCGCGCATCGCTTTTACGATCGCCATCTACGCCCTCAAATTGCTCAAACAAATAACGCCGATAAGACCGGCTATTTTGGACTTGCAGCGACATATCTATCGATATCTTAAGCCGGAAATCATGCCGGAAATTCAAAGTAATGAATTAGAGTAAAATTAATTTTTAGCTAGGCGTGTTTGTCTTTAACAATCCCCGACGCAAGTTTACCCGCCTTAGATAGACTTCTCTCTGCGATGTGATGAGAGGGAACTTTCGCGTCCGGCCAGAGTTGGTCTCTCGATGCCGTGAGCAATCAGCGCCCGACGGACGTGACAGCGTCGCGGGTTGTTTGTCCATAAACACTATAACCTGCGGATCATCTCCGGCCTAATGAAGTGTGCGCTGTTTATCCTGTCGATGGGGCTTACGGCGAGTGCGGCGAACACGCCGGCAAACTGTATTGCTATTTTCCTATATCGCCCTGATGCCCTTAACTCCGACAAGAACCAACAACACGTGTACACAACAACGCAAAACTTTCAGGAAACGATCCAATTACAAAATATAGCAACTATTTCAAATCTTGTTAAAAATTTTAAAGAGAAATTAAATTATTTCAAGAATTTTTCTCAAGAAATTTATAAAATTTACGCAAAATTGTTGATAATTTAATTTTTCGCTCCTAAAATTATTTCCTGTGGAGTACATAATGCAGTATCAATACGCCAATGCTCTGTTAGAGCAAAGGGCAAGCTCTCAACCAACCAGCCTTTTATTAATAATAAAGAGAGACTAGGTCGGCGCCTGTCATTTACTCCGCAAGCCTACAACAATACCGGTGAACTCTCGCCGGATACCCAAAACCCAAACTTGTGAATCACGAATCGGATAGTGTTTAACTGGATCACGCACACACTACACACTACACACACGACCGACCCCAAAGAAGCCATTAGCGATTTCGAATTTCCACGAGCGATTCAAAGCCGCTCGGCGGTCGGCGTTCACCGCCAACGATCCAAAACAACTTAACAATATACGTTACACGTCAGGAGGCGGGTATTAGCAGCCCAAACATAAGCCCCCTATAAACACATGCGAAACATATCGATAATGAGATACACAAAATATTATACCGATATTTTAAAATAATCTTTTGTGTCCAGATGCAAAAAAAGTTAAAAACTGGTATTTGTTAGATTTATCATTATTATTTATCACCGCTAAATTAATGGTAATAAATAATTTATTAGTAAATTTTTGTTGATAAGTTGAAAAGTTACATTCTCGACGATTTAATGAAAATAACTGCATCCTAACACCATCTATGTTTACCTCATAGAGCGGAATGAATATTATTTATACCTTGTAAAATACAAATATTAGTTGATGTTGTTTGGTGTTATCGTCAAGAATTCTCTGCGTAGCAAGAAGAGTGCAATCGAATATAAACAAATCAATCTATTTCATGAAATCGCGTGATCCCACATGAACACGAGTGCAGTCACTACCACAAACAGAAAACTACCTAGTTCCAAACAAAACATGAATTCGGCACAGAATTAAATGCAAATAAGTGCATCCTAGCGTCATCTAGGCTCAATCCAAAAAGTTACAGTTGTAACAATTAAAATAAACGAACAATGATACTGATACTAGTGCTCACTGATCTTATTTAATAGAAATAAATATGTAATATTAACTCAAGTAATAATTTTATAAAATATAATCACAAATAATTCATTCCCATTTCTAATTTGTCCTTCAATCGTAATCATTTGTGTAGGATTTTTAAAATGTGTCTAAAGATAAGTAATAATTGCAGACGAATTAAAGAATAACTATTTATATTTGTAAAATTCAAATTTATCTTTATCACCAAAAACAGCAACTAGCAAGAAGAGTGCAACAGAATGTAAACAAATCTATCTATTTCAAGAAAGATCCCACAAAGTGCAACAGAATGTAAACAAATCTATCTATTTCATCGAAATCGCGTTGCATTATTCCATAAACAGCTATACTGCCAACAAAAAATTTAATTTAATTTAAGATTTCAATTTAATGCAGTAATAATTGCAGGATGAATTTGCCTAAAGAATAATTATTTACATTTGTAAAATTCAAATTCATTTTTATCGTCACAAACAGCACGTATCAAGAAGAGTGCAATAGAATGTAAACAAATCTATCTATTTCACGAAATCGCGTGATCCCACATGGACACGACTTAAGTCACCACTACAAACACAAAACTGGTTCCAAACAAAACATGAATTCGGCAAAGAATTAAATGCAAATAAGTGCATCCTAGCGTCACCTAGGCTCAAATCTTAGAGTTATACTCTTCCACTTCCACTAAGTGAATGTAGTGCCGGAACTCACAAGGCCACGACTATCTTCATTTAACTCGACATGCGCCTGATTCACGTCAACAAACAACTTCACCTCTACTGCCAAATCCTATTTAATGCAATAACTGAATCCTAACGCCATCTGAATTCTCACTAAAGAGATATTTAAGTACGATGTGCGCATCAACACGAATTCACTTGTAAATTTCAAATCTTCCGCAAAAAATGTTAAATAAAATAAATGTTTGCTTACCTTAACCAATGTCGCTTGGTAATAACAGTGTGACAGCAAATGGCATCATATTGATCCGCCATCCAGACGATGAGGATGATGTAGAACGCCGTCGTGGAGTCGTTGAAAAATTCCGACATGATCGCCTCCATGCCTGCAACAATTAGCGGCGCGTTTAGTCACATCCCTCGACTCGCGAGTCGCCGCCATTGTACAAAATTGGCTTCGGCGGCTTCGCTGTTAATTATACGAAACAAACACAGCGTGGGGCGGCGGCGGCAGTGGCGGCGTGCCGTAAATAACTACAAACACTGTGCGACTGCTGTGTGCCATCGTCAACCCTTGTGTTTCAAATTTCAATATGCGCTAAGTTTTTCATTAGCCGCTTCTTTCGCCACTTGCCTCGCGAAACTACTTAAACGCTTAAGCGCACACAGCGGAGGGGCGCTGACGGCGACAAACTCTCAAAATTAATTATTAGTTAAGCATCGCGTATCGTTCGTCACGTTCCGCGCCGTTTTTCGGAAAGAAGGCGTCGAAGCCAAAACACAACACCAGCACTCCGAGGAGGGGTGTTCCAGGCCGTATAGAAAAGAATAATTGCCCGGCTATTATCAGCTCGTTACCAAAGTGTTTTAACAGTTCGGCCGCAGCTGAAGTTTACGTCGATTTTTTTCTTTTTCCTTTTCTGCTTTATTTTCAAAGTTCGTAATTTTTCACAGCAGAAACGAGCGCTGGCAGATATAAATGATTTGAAATCCGACTTTACGTCATGAATTTGCCTAAAAACTTTAATGCGAATAATTTCCAGGCGCACAAAACATAATTTCTATATTTTTATATTTTATACTCAGCGTCCGTCGGAGGCTGGGAGTGACTACAAGATGAAATAAAGACTTATGAAAACGTAATGCACGACTTTGACAAGCGCATACAGTCTGTCGCAAACAAGGCGCACTTAATTGCCGTCATTGCAAGCGCCGGCGAGTTAATAAAACATGTTGTATATCGCCTAAAAAGCCAGCAAAACAAAAACGCAAAGAGACGTATAAGAAATTGGAAAAATGGCACGACGCGCGGCGAAATCTCGGCGCAAAGAGCAAAAGCGACGAGCGGCGAAGAAAACGAAGATTCTCCGCCGCACGGGCGAAGGATAATTAGTTTTCGGTACGAATCCGGCGAAGGTGGATGGAGAAAAATAAAGAAGAAAAATGTTTGATATAGCCCAAAGATGTTGGAACTTCGTTGCTCGCGCAAAGAGCGGAAGGGAAGCCAAACACGGCCGACACGACTGCTCGACCCCGGGCGGCGGCGGCGGCAGGAGGACGGCTGCTTTCTGCAATGCAGCCGCGAGTTCCAACGCGCGCGGCGCGGACTCTGCAGCGAAAACATCGCCACTCTCCCGAACTGCCGACACATACAGAGCAAGAGCAAACAGGGCTGAGTACCACACCACGCAAAACTGAGAGTGAAACGAATCGAAACCACCGAGGAAAATAGAACTTGAAACCAAGCGGTTACATCCAAACCAAAATTGAAGATTTCAAGAAAATATTCTTCAATTTTCATGGCAAAACTACTTGAAACATTCCGCAATCTTCAAATTATATTTTATGGTGTAATTTGAAAAAACGCCGTGTGGAAAACACTCTTTCCGTTCAATTTGAACGAGCGCTATTTGAAGAAGCAGACGTTCGAAAACTAAAACTGCAAACTGCGTCCGATAACGATCTGTTTGTTTGCCGACATCGGCCGCAGTGCACACGAAAATGCACATTATGCAAACCTGCAGAACGTGCAGAAGATCATGTCTAATGCCTCACATGTTCAATTTCCATGATTCCTCGTTTGTTGACAATGACACGATCATTTTCCGGGAAAGAAATCACAACTTTTCGCAATGTTTGTCGTACAATAATTACGTATGAATGGTATAAACATACTGTATGTATGCGATGGTGGTTACAAACGTAGCGCAGAAGGGTTCGTGCGCTGCGTTGCGTTTCGTTTCCTATTAATGGGGACACAACCCACCGCATTTCCTATTTTCCTATTTTTTCCATTTTCTACTTTCTTCGACCGCGCACGGTGGAAAACCCAATCCCAATGTGTATAAATAGAGGGAAATTTCTGGATTTTTCCGAGCGCCTCACAACCGCACGCAGTGCGGATTAACGTTCCCGTTTTTATTACTTAATTAACTCGTATGTAAATAAAATCGACGATTTCGCCCCGATCGATTTCAGCGCACGTCGCCCCGTTCAGCGGCAGAGCAGAGCGCGCGTGCATTTCATTCGGTTTTATTGTTTCGTTGCGGATTTTCAGCCAGCGCGGAAATTTTAATTAAATAAACGAACGCCTTTTAATGATTGAAATTCGGTGGAATATAAATAATTACGCAGCCGATAAAAATACAAATATTGCAAAAGAATTGCGCAACCGAAACATGCAACAACTAACTAACAAGCCAATTAATTAGAACCCATTTCCGGCGCAGGACGTAGAAGAAAAGTTGGATTTTTAGTTAAAGATTTGAAAGAAAATTGAAGAGAACATAGCGACTAAATTTGAATTATGCTAATTCGGTAGTGATTCAATCAGGCTGGCAATCTCTTCCGAGATAAAATTTATTCTTTCTCGAGTCTAAGTGCCGCGAAATCGAGTTACCAAAACGTCACGCACTCGCGACGCGGAAGAAAGTGCCTTCAAGTCGAGAGCCTCGCATCGAATCATTAAAATGTGAACCTCGTTTCGCTTTTTCGACTTTCGCACTTTTGACGCCAAGATGCACATTATACGAAGCTAAGAAGGCAAATTACAGTGACATATTTAGTTGACAATTTCGTGACTAGACTACCACTAAAACTCTGCACACAATAACTTAGAGTATAAATAAATTTGAATTTCAAAAAAAGTTTGCTGTATAAAAACCGACAGAATTCTAAAAGATTATTCGAATATACGCTAAGGCGGAGCGGAGGCGGTTTGAGGCGGCAACCCAGGCAACGATATCGTTTTACTTGTTGCTATGGCTCGCCTGTTGCGCGCCATCTACCAGTTGCTCTCAACTTGTTGCTCCGCCAGACACGATAAAACCCTCTGCTGATGCCGGCGTCGTAACGGCCGCCGCCGCCGACGCCATCACCGCCACCGGCACCGCCTTGCGCTGATTTATTACCACGACGATGGGTTACCAAGCACCAAACTGTTGCTTTTCGCTCGATTCGAATATCCCAACCAAAAATGTCAACTATTTGCATTCTGGGTTGCCTACATTTCAGATAGCTCTTAATAAATTACACCCATAAAATGCTATGCCATATAAAATCACGACACATTAAATTTAAACAAAAGATATCTGGGTTATGATGCGTGGCAAGCCAGCGGACGAAAGCGGAGGGGCAGCAGGAAACATCATCCGCGAGTAATGCATAATCCATTAGTCATTTACAACCGCGATGGCTGCTGATGGTCGTCGCGCATTCATCGAAAACACACTGACACACTCGGCCACTCGTCGTCATCGTCCTTCATACACTCTTCATCATCATCATCAACAACAACACGCGACGCTACACGCGCACTACACGGACGCGAATATCAAATTTCAAATATCATACATCAAACAAACAACCAAACAAAACCGGCGCTAAACATAACTCGCTCTTCAAACCTCATCCTTCATCCGATCATTCAACACAATTACCATCATCGCAAAAACCAGCCGCCCTCACGTAGGGTATTGTCAGCACGCTTGCGATTTAATAGATTTAAAAGGTTCCTATTTTGCTGGTCATATCGCGCTTGACCTGCAAGCCATCAGAGGTATATATATATAAAGTCCAAACAAGGGTAAAACGGACGGAAAACTAGGAGTGTCACTTATGATCTTATGATCTTGTGGCCTGCGCACATCGTCCATCAGCTAATAGTTAATAATAGCTTTTCTTTCTCGACGGTGGAAAAATTGCTTTCAGCGCGCTTTCAATTTTTCACCGCAAAAAGAAACAGTAATTAAATTAATTAACTAACATACCTAGCACAAATGTTATGCACTATACCGTATACAGTGTGTATACAAACAAAATGAAAAAATGAAGAAGAAAAAAAATACAACGCATCGCTTTGTTTTCTGCGAAAAATAAAACACATTACCGCTTGTTAGGTGCTGTCATCACATACACACACACATACAATATACTAATTTACTCCTCCGGCGAGGTGGAATATGCGCGCGCTCAGCAGCGGAATACGAAAATGATTGATGATCCGAAACGTATCGGTCATTGCGGTCGCATCGACGGATCGTTTTTATCGGCGGTGATGCACAGAGGACACCCCGACCGCAAAACAGGCCCCAATGAAATTGTTCATGCAGTCCGAAGCAAACCGCAATACACACACACATACACACACGATGTGCTGCAGGTGAACACGCGCCAGTTAGCTCTAACACGCCGATGATCATCTATTTCACATGACTGATAGTGGAGGCGAATGGAAATTGAAGTCGAGCGAAAATGTCGCGGTAAGTTGATATTCGACGACATTAACGTTAATTAATCACGCCGACACGCACTCACAACGCAATACGCATTTTTCAAATTCACTTACGCTGAATTGGTTGCCTACACTTAAAGTAGCCCCAAATGCAGTGCATCATCGGTTGCCTACATCGCTAAAATCAATATTTTGCAACTATCTCGTCGGCAGTTAACTGTTGTGATTAGTTTCGCCGTCGATAATGCCTTTTAGGGTAAATCGCAATGACACACGCGCATGCACATATATTCAAATGTGTTTGCTAGCGTGTTATGCAAAGCGCGCGCGCAGCACACGATGATTACGCCGCGCGACCGGATTACGCATTGAATATTATTTTCTACTCGTTACTAATCACCGAAATCCATTTACTTTGCATTACGAATCGTTAGCGTGCGCTTTGGCCGGTCCCCGAAAATCCGCTCGCCGATTGAGTCACGCGTATTATTTAATCAGCCCGGACGTCGCCATATTCCACAAACCCAACAACATATATCACTGATGACTACATTTAATTAATTTGTCAACAACAAAGTTATGTACAAACAAATCAGCGCCAAGTGTCATATTGGTTGCCTACTTTTTGGTAGCGCCGAGAGAAAACGCAACGTTAGTTGCCTACGTTTGTGGATTTTTTTCCACTTTTTATTTGTTGGCATATTTATTTGCGCAAGACGAGTCGAGTTGAGTGTGTGGTACACATGTCAAATGTAAACGCAAATATTTACAAGTTGAGTTGTTGCGGGGCAAAAACGACGCGTGCAGAACTCGAGCGGGGCGAAATAACTAAAGCCGAGAGACGCGCATTTTTGCGCGAAGCTAGCCTGAATTGGTATTTACGTCAATTATTGCACGCAAATATTGTCAACCCCCAGCGAAATGCGCGGAACGTGCGCGAATCGAAGAAATATTATTATTACATTATTATGTCGGTCGGCAGGAGATGTACCGTCTGGATACGCCGAACCAGAGTAATATTCAACATGAGAATCGAATTTTTCAGAAAACATTTACTCGGTAGTATAATCTGGCGGCGCACAAATTGATATTTATGAATATATAAATTCATATATTTGTTGATATTATCTAGTTATCCTCTTACTGATATGACAAATTGATATTCGTAAAATTCCATTCATCGCGCCTCATTGCGGCTGCGTTTCAACGAAAATTGAAATGCGATGTCACATTTGATATACGATTACATCGCAAACTTGCGCGCACAAGACGACGGCACACGTCCACCCCACATTTGCCGCCGCCCTACTCCTCGCATGTTTGATTTGCGAGATTAAATTCACTTCAACTCGCGAGCATCGTAATCACAATCATGCGCGCACACACCAAAAAGAGAAGAAAACTATGGCCGCAGAATTAAATTACATCGAGAGAAGAGTGAAAAAGAAAGACTTACCGACAAGCGCCAATATGACGGTCAGCAGGGGCGCGGCCGGAAAGCTCACAGTCATGTTGAATTCCAAAGTTTGCAGTAGATCCACTGAAACAGACAAGCAGACAAAAAAAAAATTCATAATTAGTGCATTAATTAATTGTTCACAAAAAAAGTCAAAATATTATCATTCTAGTTTTCGTCTGCGCATAGAAACTAAAATTTAATTAAAACTAGTGGTTGAATAATTGCCCCCCTAATTAAAATTCCCGGGATAACCAAAAATCAACGCGTGGGATGATAATTATTCGCTTTATTAACCAATGTGGTTTTGGGCAATCGCAATGCAATCCGCTTGTAAATCTAAATTCTTTAGATCCCCTGCGCTGACCACTGTTCCATTCCATTCGGGTTCTCTTGATGCTATCCTATCATAGCCGGCAGTGATACGCACTTTAAAGTAAAGAAAAAAAGGCCAAAGGAAACCGTTTGTAGCAACATCTTCGCACACATCAAAGAATGTTTATTCTCGCCACCGCTACCACTGGCGAACCCACCAGCCTCGTAGTCCTGCAGAGATGTGAAATATATTCCGTATTTTGCATTCGGATATTCCAACCTTTTGGGAATACTCTCTGCTCCACTTTCTGCTCCTGTGCTTCGAGGATGAGCTGTGGCCAGTGGCTACTTCAGGTCAAATGCCTTCAAAGACATGCAGTAAGCGCGCGAAGGCGGCACAAAGGACGAATATCATACTTATGTGTTTTTAATATGGGAAAAATCAAAGCGGATCAGAAAATAATACTCGGCAAACAGAAAATAACCACCGCAAAATATTAGCAACAAATAAATTATATCGCAACCACGGAAATATTTCATACTGTTTGCTACGAGATAATCCCGTCTGCAAAGATATGCGTTGAAAATAGTTGCAGCACTTCGATTCCTTCCACGACAGTCCTGCAAGCTGAAGAAGCATTACAAAGACCCTGCTCTCGTCCGAGGATAAAGACCACAAACAAAATATCCAACCACAAGAGACATTCTTTGCCAAGATGGAAATATGAGCCGTCCGCAAAAGCAGCAAAGACACTCCTACACTGCTTCTGCTCGCGCAAGAAGAACAAAAACAAAACGTGTGTTTGCCGGACCGCGGTAACCCAGGAGACTTTGCGCTGATGCCCCCTTGACGTATTACACGCAGGACTTTGCAGGACGCTGTGTGCCAGCCATCCCCGGGCAGAGAATATGTGCATGTGTGTGTGTGTGGGTGTAAGAGGGGGAGGTGGGCAGGTATACATTCTACAATGTCCACATGCGCATATCCCGCCCGCAGGAATAATAACAGATTTCAAACGGATTTCGGCGAAGCGATCCTTCCGAAGAGTTTCGGGGGTTTTGGTAAAAGGTTTTCATTCGGCGTGTCCGAACAAGTTTCAAAATACTCTCGACGATCAGGCGGCGGCGGCGAAAAAATAATACGGAAAATCTAAAGCCCATCAAAATCACTTGATATATCTCCTTGATATATATTTAATCGGGCGAAGGGGTGACTTAAAAAATCATTAACTTAAATGGACGCGACAGGTATGATTTTCGAGCTGGAACAGTACTGACAGTGGCATCTATCGTCAAAATGTTAAAATATTATTTTTGTGTGTTTGTGATAAGATTGAGTTTGGCCTTGTTAAATGGCGGGCCATTTAGGAAAGTCGCGATTTGATAGACATCTTTTTGAGCATTATGAACAACTTTCTTTTCATCTTCTTTTTATATAAAAAATAAATAAATAAAATATCATCTCTGCTTTTTTGATCTCAGTCAGTGGCGTAACTAAATGAAAATTCATAATCTACGGGAAATTCTCTATAATAGCGCCCAAAAATTATTCATAAAGAAAAATTAGCTAAGGAAGAGCTCTACTCATTTTCTTCAATATTTCCATTGCGATTATCTTGCAAACTAAAAGCGATTGAAATGAACGGATTGAGAATTTTGAATCGACGTGCAATTCCCGTGATATTTTGCTCTGCCTCTGATCTAAGTTTAATAAAAATTTCTATCTGAAGCGATTCCGCATTTAATTTTTTCGCATGTTTCCCAACATGTTTCGAATCAAAACTTGTAAATAAAATTTCAACTTTCAAACACATTTTTAACTTGAAAACTTTTAAATAAGTTCCGCGTGCAATCTTCTATTTTCTATAATATTTATTAGATGCAAATAAAAATTACAATAAAGCAAGCACACGGGGACAACAAGAACGACGCCGAAGAAGAAAAAAAAGTTGTCTGAAAAGGGGTGAACGCTGTTCATGTTCCTCCGCGCGCTCAAAATTATAATTTCCCGTTTAATAATTTAAAACACGTTGCTTTTTGATTAAGCACATCGGACCAGAAGGGAAAGCGAGAGTCGTTCGAGAAGCTGGAGGGACATTAAGCGCCGCCGCCGCCGCCGATGGCATCGCGCGAGGCATCAAGGCATCAATCTTAGTTTAATAATTCCGGCGTCGGCGACGCACAACTTTTATCATTATCCCGACAAGAAACTCTCGCCCAACACAAGCAAGCGATACAAGCAGTAACCTGAACACATATTTCCGCATAAAATAAAAAAAAAAATAAAAACAAAATCACAACTTACCAATAAAGACGAATATCTGATGGTGCGAATATCTCAGCAGCATTGATTGTGAAACAGTCTGCAACGAATTAAATAAATAAATGTATCGCATGTATGTAATAACATTCTCCTAGTTAGATGTGTGAGATATATTCAAATAACTGCGAAACGTCAGATAAATCTCTTTTGTAGAGTGCGGCGCATAGTGAACGCGGGCGCACGTGAAATCGAACGCCGTCGAGAAATATAGCTAATGACATCGTTACCAGGCGTTGCGATAACAACCGACGTATCAGGCCGCCGCAGCAGGAGCCTGGGATCCGAGGCAACAAGAGAAACATATTCTTCGGCGTTCGGAAAAAGTGCAAAGCGTGGCCGATCACATGCGGATTGCAAGAATTGCCAACTTGCAAGAGGTTCAACTTTTCAATCGGGGACGCAACACAATCGCACAAGTATCACAAGTGTTCATTTTTTGATTGATCATCGAAAGCGGCGAAAAAATAAATTCTAATAGCCTTGTATTTACAACGCAAAATTATTCGCCGAAAAAAAAATAACACGACGAGCGGAAATCTGATATTTCAATTAGCAGCGAAACGATACTCGAAACGCTATTATTAAGTAATGGTGTTAATGCGGCGCTTTACTTAGTTATGCATCGTCGACGGCATTAAATTCAGCACACCCTCTCTCTGACGTTTTTTTCGGGTCGATGAATAAAACTTCCGGAATGGTGCGGAGAGAGGGGCGTGCAGAGGTCCGGCATGCACTTCATATGCACGGCGCGTAATTGCGCCCCGGAAAATTATACAAAATCGGATTGTTTGGCGCGCCGTTGCCGCCGCCCCCAAAACAGTCGGAATTTTAAACTCCGCATGTGCGGAAACTGCAATAAACCGGCGCTCATCCGTGCACATTACGCGAATAATGCGAATATGAACCGGCGGCGGTGCAAGAATGAGGATGGCGTGAAGAATTGAATGCACGCTCGGGTGGAACGACGGTGGCGGCGGCGGCGGCGGCAGCAGCGGAGATGAAAGTTGGTTGGGAAGAAGGAGCGCCGTGGAGATTTTATCATGTGTTAAGTGTCAAGCGTACTTTTCCGGGTTGGCAAACCGAGTTAACGGGCACGGTCGGGCGTCGCCGCCGCCGCGTCTCGTTTCAGATGACGGATCGCGTCGCACGCCGCATACAGTATGGCTGGGGTGGCGGCGTGGGGCGCGTCCGCCGCCTAACACGATAAATTATCATAATCCAATTAAAGTGCCGCTCTTATTCCACTTAACTTTTCCAGCCGCGTTTCTCATCCGGCGCACGTTTTGCCATCCCCGGCTAATAATCGAGACTTTAGATTTTTACACCGCGCCATTCTTTTTATCAACGCGATAGTTTGCAACAGAAAGATTTGTATTGATTGATTGATTGATTCCAGTGTAACTTTATGATTAATCACTTCGAGAAACACCTGTTTCGTGAGAAAAATCAGTAAAGTTCTGTTAAGACTTCCCGACTTCCGTTTCCGCATAGATCAATTTACAAATTGGTCATTTCCGCGTGCGAGAACAAAAACGCAGGCGGCAACAGCAGCAAATCAGTCAATTTCACCCCGCAAATAACCCGGCCGGATGTTGCAGTATGTCGCACTGCCGCCAATAAACCGAAACCCTCCATTTCGCTTCGTTATTTTTATCGAAGCATAGAATATAAACACATCCATCCAACACGCACCGCAAATGCGCGCGCGCGCTGCCGCCCCCGGCACGCTAATGAATTGCGGCCATCGCAATTTATTTAGATTATCGCACAAATCGCGCGCATTCCGTAATGCTGCGAGGGTTGCCTGGCTGGGTGACGTCGCGATCATTTTTCGTGGCCGAGACAATCATTCAATGTGGATGCGCGCCCCCAACGGAATCAATCGACAAACATTCGCAGCACAACCTTCGCTGTGGTTGTTGCGGTGGTGTTATGGGGGTCGAGAGGACGAAGAGAGAGTCGGTCGGTCGGGCGCCAGCGTCAAATGGGACAACATATATAATGGAGGGCGCAATTTGCGGCCGATTTCCAGATTTGTCGATTTCTCCAAACCCGACACGAGTCGCAATTCGGTTTAATGAAGGGATGGCCCCTTTATGTATCGCGTTACTATTATACAGTATCCTATCACAAACTACTCAACAAAACAACTTATAACCTCAAAATAACAAAATTTAACCTATCTTAACAAAAAACTAAAATTTTTCTTAAAATTTGTTTAAATATTTTCCAAAAGGTGAAGAAAAACTAGTCGGTGGTGTAGACATAAATCCACACACCCGATGCCATACGCACGAGGGTTAACTACCTCCCAGTGGCCTACTAGACGGTAATTATGTCAACGATCACTCGACACCGCAACAAACCGACCCTCGAGCGCGCCGCAGAAGACAAAATGTGCGGAATGCGTGCGCACCGGGTGAAATATCGCCCACTGGAGGCGCATAACGCAAGGAACGGCCGCGGATTAAAAAACACGTTCGAAACGAATACCGTGCGGCGCATAAAATAAATGGCAACATGGAAAAATGCAAGCAGACACTTACAAAAACTATCATTATGAAGAACGCAGCCAAATAGGAACTCCTGCCCATCCACATACTGACAAATCTAAAGTGTTCACCGGTAACTACATTTCTGCAAGTAAAATAATAATTTAATATATTTTATTATTAATATTTTAACAATTTTTACCTAAGGTAACCTTTATTATTCTCCTGCTCGGCTAGTGTTTTAATGGACGCCATTAAAATGTCATCGTAGCCAAGAAACTGATCAAGAACTACGCGACTGAAGGAATCACCAAAGCATTGATCCTTGTCCGGATCCAAGGCGACAATTTGCACTGGTACATTTAGTCTTATTCTCGCTGCTGGACTCAAGCGGAGAAAACCATGCTCAAGAGCATATTCAACGATATAATCATCTTCAAATAACTCTGCACCAACAAAATTGACATTAATTTAAAACTGCATAACCTCAAAGTTGCGCATGCGCAGATTCAAACAAATAAACTCAACATTGCGACTATTCTTTCTCAAAGCTTTCACTCAATCAAAAATATCAAGATATACAACTCAGTGAACACAAAAACCTGTGCTAACCGTGGTTATAAACAACGACATCGAACCCTTCAACGATTTTCGTGTAAACTTTGAGCAAGGTCTCGCCGATCGCGCGATATTTCAACGTGATGAACGCAATACCTCGTTCTTCCTCCTCCTGAGCGCCTTGGGCAGCACCCGGTTGAGCAGCGTTCGTATTTGCATGCTCATCGTTGCTCTTTGTGTCATCGTCAGCGGCAAACTGTACTTTGACGTGCACAGCGTTTATTGGCGTGAAGTCACGGCGGTCGTGCGGATCCATTGGGATCAAACCATCGTATAGTGTGGTTTTTATTGGGAGATGCGATACATTTGCCAGGGAATTCGGTGAGATTGAACCTGGAGTGTATTCGGTGTGATCACTTCTTGAGTTTATGTATGCTCCTTGTCCTAAAACAAAAAATATAAGAGATTAGAATCAAAAAATCAAGAAAAAGTTGAAATTTGTCCAAAATTTTTCGTTTTTTAAGTAAAAATAACAATTTTTATGCTTACTTTTCTCTAAAGGTTCAGTTTCCTTCGTGCTTTCTTCAACAGTACTGGCTTCAATATTATAATACCCCAAAAACGAGGCAAAATCATCCAATTCCTGCTTGCGCCGCGCTTCGCGTGCATAACTATCCTGAATATTATACTCTTTGCCCTGATTGCGGACAATCTCAACGCGTAAAATCCCATCCCGTGGCCACGTCTCCTTCACGTGCTCGAGGCATGTCGTCGGCGCCCTTGAGAACGCAATATGCATATACACGAGCACAAAAAACGCGCTCAACGCCTTCATCAGTATAACAAACTCAAAGAGGCGACGCACCGGCCGGGGAAAAGTGCGCGCGTACGCCAGCGACGCCTTGAAGAACAGCGTGTGGAAGAGTTGGTCACGCACATTGAACAACGGATTCTGATTGTTGTTGTTACGAATTCGCTGTGCGTTCATCATCGGAGGCGGCTGCTGCGGGGGCGCAGCCTGCGGCGGCGGGTCCGCCTGGTCAGCCATCTCGTGACAAACTTAGTACATTCAGTGATAGTTCTTCCACATCTAAAACGAGTTCAAATATTAGTGGAAATGCGATAAGTTTTTGTGGTGCGTTGCGATTGGTCGGTGGTGTGTAAGTGTTGGAAAACAAAAATCAACAAAAACATGCGCGAAATGACTGTGTACTTTTGACTCTTTGATAGGCAAACGTCTAGACACGAACACGCACGACAATGACTTGTTTATGTAAAAACAAAACACAACTACACTTGGATTTATTTCCTGCTTCCTTCTTACTGTGCTTGCTTTCTTTCTCTCTACACCTGACACCAACTTTCTTTTCATTGATGCTGTACGCACTCACACAATGTAAGCGTATTACATTCATTTACCGCACGTCACTTTAATAAACTTTTCCATTCCATTCGGAAGCGTTGGGAGCAAGAGTCAATATCGGTTATTACACTTATCTATTTATATTTTATTCATACGCGTACCAATATCGATTTTCAATTAAACTAACGATTTACCGCCGGACACAAATTTAACTATGTATAGCAGTTACTACTAAAGTTTTATGTGTTGCAAGCGGGGCTTTCGACTGATTTTACAATGTGCGATGTGAAACAAAATTGCGTTGCTTTCGAATGCGAAAAACAGTTGAAAAATAAACAAGCCTACCTTGTGTGTACGATTGGTGCGGTTGTATGTACCTGTGACGGAGCGTCCACGCGCTGACACCGACTTACGCAATCAGCGCGTAGACGTCGGGGAGGCGTAGCGATTTATTCCACGCTCGTCGCCTACTTTGCGCCCCGCGCCCCGATTTACATCCAGTAATTCACGACGGAATTCGTTTTTAATCACTTAGCAACACTGTTTTTCTCGCGCTAATGAATATCGCTCATGTCATTTTTGTGTGAAACGTCAGTGTCAAACATCTGCAACGCGCGCATGCGCAATACAACCGCAACCACTGCCACTGAATCAAAAACTTTTAAATAAACAATAAAAATGTTACTTTCTTATAAATAAAGCCAATATTAATTATATTAAATAATACTAATAATTAAATTTGTATTAATTTATGACTAGTTGCTGTTTCTTTTAAAATTGTCGCAACATGCGCATTAAGAGTATTTTTAAAACTTTCGCTAACCTCACTAAACTTCCTGCTTGACAGATTGAATAATAAAGAATAATAATGCAATATTATAGTGATTCCAGCGAAGAAAAAGATATAAAACCACTGATATTAAACAATGATCACTTCTCTAGCGGGTCTGTGAAGAAGTGGCAGCCGCACGCATGGCACGATGGCAATCGCCGCAGCGCTTTCCAACCTTACAAACAATCATGCACTGTACTCACCAATCTCCAGAGAGGTAACACTCCTGCTGCAACACCTGTCCCTCAAGCAACAGATATTAATTTTCACACACGCGCCGGTCAAGGCGAGATCACTGAAGAAGACATCATGAATGAAAAGTCAGTTGACATATGTGATGACAATGGGTTGACAGCACTGCACTGGGCTGCAAATTATGGACAAATTAATGTTGTGAAGCTTTTACTGGCACATCATGCTATGGTTGATAGGGAAGGTCCTGATGGAGAGACTCCACTACTGCTTGCTGCAAATGGAGGGCATAATGAGGTTGTAAAAGTCTTGATTAAGGAAGGAGCTGATGTTAATCATGTTGATCATGTAAGAAATTGTTTTTTTAGATGTTCTAGGGACCAGGAATAGTCTCTAAAGGTCCTCTACCTTTTTATATTCTAGAATTATGACTAAAAATGTCTTTTTTGTTTAAAATTGCGCGTTATACAAGTTTGTGCGCGATTGTCCATACAAATGATTGTACAATCATATGTTTAACTTCTATTTCAACACCTAAAACTAATTTTTGTGTAATTTTCTGTTACAGGCTTGTAATACCGGACTGATGTACGCTGCAGGAGGGAATCATCCACACACTTGTAACGATTTACTTGCGCACAATGCAAATCTAACTCTGGTGAATTTAAACGGAGAAACTGCGTACGACTTGGCAGTCGACAGTTCCTCATATTTAGCACAAGCTATTTTAGAGAATCATTTACTTGACTTACTCAAATGAACATTTTTTATCTGCATGTCCATATATACATTAACTGCTTAGTCATTCATGTTTTTACTATGTAATATCAGTTTATTTAGTTATGGTTACACCTAAATGTGATAATGGCATGTTGTGCAAACAGAATAAGTGATAAGATCATATTGATAATATATATGTTACTAATTAATTCAGATATAATAAACGTTATAAATGCGAACTTTGTAACTGTTGTTTGCTTGTACAATCATATCCAGTTCAATCATGGAGGTTCTCATCAAGCTAAACACACAAACTGCTGGACGCGACAAAATCGCAAGGTAAGCAGTTAAATTACTGCATAATATGATAAAACATTTTAATATTAATATATTTGCAGGTTGTTGCAGTATTTAAGTCGTTTATTATGGCATAGATTGAAACAATCACATTGTGGAGGAGTTGATAACCTTAAAAACTTGGAATATCAACTTTCTACCTTTAGAAAACGTAAATTTACCTGCAATAAACTTATGAAACACTTTATAAACATTGATTTCCTGCTTGTATTTTAGTTTTACGATTTGGAAGATTTGCAGACTCGTTGTATACGACACTGCCACTCTTTCAACATCACAATACAACTATCAAACTAACTGTGATACTCTCAAAAATTGCCAATGCTTTGTTCCTATTTGCTGACCACATACTCTGGATGGGACGCTCGGATGTAATGAGTGTAAATACAGACAAATGGGCGAAAATATCCAACAAATATTGGCTGTATTCAATCACAATGAACTTGGTCAGAGATTTCTATGAGATTAGAATGATTTTAAAGCATAATCAGAGTAAAATATACACTGATAGAGTTTGTAGTGTACAAGAGTGTTTGACTGTGTGCAAGAGAGCTTTTGACTGTGTCCAGCATGATAAGGCTGTTATGATTGACACTGTTAAGAATGTGTGTGACTTTTTCATTCCTTTGAATGCTTTGGGGCATGTCAAGTTATCTCCTGGCACTGTAGGCCTGTTGGGAGTGATATCAAGTATTGCTGGACTGATTGTACTCATGGAACCACATAAAAAATTGTCTCCACAGTGAGAGATATGATTGTACAATCAAGATGGGGATGACAATCAAATATTTAACTGGTGTGGTGCATTTGTTTTAATATTTGGTAAATGGTAATCGTAAGAACATCAATAATTAGATATACTTATACATTGCATACTTCTAAGGGCCAAATGTGAAGAATTTATATTCCTGTTGAAATTATTGTGAACTTGTTTAATGTTTAAAATAAAAATTTGATTAAAAAACTTGGAATTTGTATTTTTAGCAATATGCTTGTATGTAGAGGACACTTACAACGCCTAAACATTTCGAAAAATTTAACTTGACCTTTGTTCACCTTCCTACATCCGAAATAAACCCGATCGAAAGTCGAAACGAGCGTTTTGTTGAACTTGTCTCATGTAGGATGATGAGATCATACTTCAACAACGATTACGACATGTTCATACGTCCAAATATGAAATTAATTACCAACACAACCATTGATTACGGACATAAATAGCTGGGAGCATTCCCAGAAGCATTTTTGTGTGGAAAACAAATAAAACGAACGCGCTACACGTTTAATTACTTATTTATATGCATGTACATAGCTTATAAACATGCAGTCGTGTAGATCCGTAGATATTTTCATTGATTTTCAAGCCGTGTTGGTGACGTCGTTTAATAATAAAGTTTTTAATTAGAAACATTGAAAGAGATTCGATTCGTACGTTGGCGTAATGGACGTCATTGCGTTTGACCGACAGCCGGTTGTTTCAGTCGTTTGCTATTCGTCATACGTTAAGTTTCAATTGTTTTAAGTGCCCAAAACAGCACCCGACGCCATATTGCCGTCGGGAAGCTTTATCGTGATAAAAAATTATCCATTATTGCACTTTTAAAGTCTCCCATAAATGTTTTGAACATTAATTGTTAAAGATAATGAAGTTTGAGTGCACAGTAAATAATAACAAGTGTTTTAAACAAAATTTTACATTCCAAAGTTAAATAAAAGTAAATATTTCGATAACACTCAGTGTAAACTTGTTTAAACAAATATTACATGTACATGTGCGACGTAACTAACGCCAGTGTCTTATCTCTATGTTATTTATGTTATTTTGTTTGAATTTTTAGACGTTAAACCCGTTTGCAAAAGTTTTACTCAGTCGCTCACAATTTGCCTTAAAAGCTAGTCATGTTTAGTTAGAATTTTCTGCTGCCATTTTAAATTCCTGGGCCACTTTGGGCGGGTAATCCCTGAACAAATATGGACGTGAATATTATCGATTGTGTGTGACCCGTTGTGTGTGAGATGAATTGATAAGTCGTTGATAAATAAAACGCCGATAACGACACGCGATCATCATTGATGATTATTGTTAACAATTGAATGCGTTATTCGTTGTTGAATTTCGGCGGATACAAGTTACATCGCTGTGTAAAGATTAAAGGAAACACGCGTAGCGGAATAGAATTGAATACAACATAACCAATAACGTAAACTACAGTTTTAATATATTTGTGGTTAATTTGAGTGTTTGTGCATCATGGGGTTTGGACTATGGCTCATGGAGATGACGAGGGTATTTTGAACATCTTGCAACATCAAATCGTCGCTGTGCTGCTGTTTTTCAGCATTTGGACGCCCATTTTCACATATCCTAGCGCGCTGGCATGGCATGTCGCGTTGTGTTCGCTTGGCGTAAGTATTTAAACAATTTCAGGGCTTCGGCGTCATAAAAACGATAACACACGTTGAGTTCTATCAGATTAATACAAGGTTGGAAATTCCCGACCTAAATGTTTAAATTTAGACCTTAATTTAACATTAAACGCTTAAAATAAGACCAAAACACAATAAAACAACCAAAAATGCATTTATTTTTAGTTATTCCCATTCGTATTCGAAGGATTAGCAGTCCTAGGATATGATTTGATCTATGCAATTGAACTAGAAGAGAAAACACGTGGATATATCCATGCAGTAATGATGTCCCTGGGTACCATCTTCCTGGCAGCAGGTGCCATCATGGAAATGGCGCGCGATCGCCTAACCTCGCATTTCAGCTCAACACATGGCATCCTAGGTAATGACTAATAAAAAAATCATCATGATTCATCTTTATCTATTAATACAATCAATTTCTGATAACAATATGTGCAATTCTGAGTCACTAACTAAATATTTCGTTATGTTGCAGGATTAATTTGCCTACTTTTTGTGCTGTTTGCGTTTATCTTTGGATTTTTCTCGAGATTCGCAAAATCTTTGAAAGGATACGCCAGACCTGTTATTTTCCACTTTGTGCATAATCTAATCGGCATTCTGGCTGTCACATTCGGCATTGCATGCATGTGCACTGGTTATTACCTTGATGCGTTTATAGCCCTGGAGGATTCCAAGATGGCGGCGACAATTGTCGCTTGTTTATTGCTACCATGGGCACTCGCGACGGCGCTGCACAAATTGTACAAGCAATTCATGTCGATGATACAATGACTCAATGATCGTAACAACGCGCATAGAAAGACAATTTACGTTGTAATTACAAATTAGATATAGGTTATTTATTTTGACTAGGAATTGATTTTTGTTACTTGAATGCAAGTTTGTAATAAACAAAAGGAAATGTGTGCATATCGTTGGTAGTGATTTATTCATATTCATATCTCTTATCGAATCTAAATAAATAGAGGTATACAGACTTAACATATAATACTCAATTTAGAAAAAGAACTTAAAGGTTAAAATAAAGTGCGCAGACGCGACGAATCGACGTGAGTGAGTATCTCTTTTGGTTTCAGTGTAATTTTCATTGTCACAAACTCATGTCATTCGCTTCAAAATCGTTCATAAATACTATACAAAATGCCAATCAGTACAAATTACGCGTCTAAATAAATAAATCGTCATGTTTTTCGTTCACAACAAAACTCGAATTTCGGAAATTTCGGCAAAATCGGCACATTTACACAGATACACGCCATCTTCTCACACTCATTCGCACCGCGGCCATCTTGAAACAACTAGATTAAGAGTGGCAGAGTATTTGATACTTTGTTTCGAACACACGCAAAGAATTTCCAAGATTATCGCTAAGAGTTTAAGTATTATTACATATATAAGTTATGCGCTAGCTCTAGTGATTACTGGGTGACGTTAATTTTACTAACCTTTGAATTTAAGTTATTTGTTTGGGTGGGCGTGGTTATTACGGTTAGATTCTAAACAGATCACAGTCTCTCGCTCAAAATAAACATGGTGTGGGGAAAAGAGGGATGGTGGAGGGTTTTCTTTATTCCAAAGCGTCCTGTTGGCCGGCCCGCTGACAGGAATGACAGCAGTGAGATGTGTAGTAAGGGTACTTGCACAGGCGTGCTTGTACTGCTTGGTAACAATGTTGTATCAGATCAACACATCCACCTAAAACATGGTTATGTAGTGTTTTGGTTTTAAAAGTAAGGTTATGTTGAACGTACGTGTCATTGGTTGATCCTGCTGACTACTAGCTGGTTTGATTCTGTCTTCGTGGATTTTGGGACAAGCGCAGGACCTTTTCACCAAGGGTTTGGCTTCCATGTCGCAGAGATTGCTATATTGACCATGGACACTCATACATTTCACTTCCCTGCGTTGGTTACCATTGGGACAATCGTGACATTCACTCCATTCACCTGAAAACCATCTTGGGGGGCATGCACCGTCACAAGGACGTTCTGTTTCCGGTTTGGATGCACTTGAACAGGTCATGTCATTCGTGAGTCTTGGTTGTCCCCTTAGACGAATTACACAGTGGACATCGCGTTTTTGTTTGCTTTGACCATTGCAGGAATCTGAACAAGTGTTCCATGGACCAGTAAACCATTGTCCACCACATTCCTTTTCACTGGAGCATTGCCTGCTTGTTTCCGGTTTGGTTTCCATAGCGCAATCACTACCAGAACGGCCATTACAGACTGAATGTCGATTTTGGGTGCCGGTACCACAGTTTTCACTGCATTGACTCCACTCACTCAATAACCAAGCGTTGTGGTGACCCGGAGTGGAACAAGAACCACTTTCGCAGTATTCCGCGTGAGCGGGGCGTTTACCATGGTGGCAGTTACCACCGGGACAGGTTACACTGCGAGTACGTGTGCCAGTTCCACAGGAAACTGAACACTACAAAAAATAATCATTTCTGTTAATTCTGGGAGGAGATAAAATGATTTTGATAACTTACTGCACTCCAGGAACCTACAATCCAATCACTGAAGCTCTTATGCATCCGTTCATCAGGATGTAACTCATTGTCACTCTCGTCACACGCGGGTAGACTACAAGGACGACTTGATGCGGTGGGTTTTGGTGGAGCGCACAACGAATCACTTTCTACGCTTGTGAGACCATTGGTTTCCTTGATACATTGCACCAGATAGTGTTGAACACCCTGTCCGCAAGACCCAGTACATTGTCCCCAATGTCCACCCCATTGAAGAGGACACTCATGTTGGTTACAATGGATATAATGCGTGGGTTTCTCTAAATGGGCACACCTACGTTCAGAAACCGGTGTGTGGTGGAGTTCCCTCGTGCATTGGAATACTGATTGCTGGTAACCTACATAACCCCAAATAAACTTACAAAATCAGGAAAAACCCAAAATTTTGGTCTTAATTTACCTCCTCCACAAGATTTTGAACATGCTGTGACACCAGTACTCTTCCAAACGTACTTCCGGCGATTTCGTAGTCTCCGATGAGGATGTGGAGATGCAGAAGTAGGTTGGGCCTCATCCCGCAAACTTACAGCATTGGTATCCATGATATTTCCTTCCAAATGTGCAACTTGCCCATTACCAATCGCTGGATGTGATTGGATAGGTTCTTCAGCCGGTAGGAGTACCCATATTTGATACCAGGATTAGGTTGTTGGTACCACACCAAAATATCAACAGCGGAATCAATTGGACCACCTGTAGTGATAGTTTCCAATGAAGAAGCATCCTGTTTACGGTAAGTGAAGGTAACACCCGCCCCATGAACAAGTCTTGAGTTACTAAACTTCCAATCGCCATTCAGGATGTAAGAACCATTCGAAGATCTCAAAGCTATCAAAATGGACGCGGTGGTAATAAGTAAATGTTGATATATTTTGTTGAAGAATCAATTTACCTAGAATATTGCGTGTGTGCTTCAATTGTTGGACGAGGATACGACAAGCGCCCTTGGGGATCTGCGCGACGAGTGAATACCCAGGCGGTAGGTCAGGTCGCGTGTACAGACCGGAAATACTGCGGCAGTTGCTCGTCACGCAGGCGGGACACTCCTCGGGGGCTTCCTCAATAGCACCGATGACGCCATTTGAGCCGACACTCTGTAATCATTCGCATATTACTATCAATAATGACCAAATCTCATCATCCGACATTATGTGTTTGTTTTTAGCGCTGTGTGGGTTGCCTATCAAAGCAATAGCTCTCATTATATTTTTCTGTCTGTTGGCGCGGGCGCCTCCTGTCGGCCCAAGGTCGAATGAATAAATAAATCGCGCTCGTAAAGTTTACAGCTATCATAACGCTCGGACATTCTTGCTATTGAGCGCCCCATCGATCCGCAGTGCACGCATGCAGATGTCTAATTGTTTATGCGCCAATTTGCGTTATCGCGGGGACCTCGGCGTGCCATCACTTGACGTCACTTATAGACATCAACTTCAACTTTAACGGCCATCACTTCCAGAGTGATGGAACGAAGCAATTTGTTTTCGGACGCGGTTTTTTTATGTATTTGCTTTTTGCAAAAGCTCAAAGTGCTATATTTAAAGCTCCGTAGTTGATGTTTGTGGTTATGTTGTGTGCGCGTGCGATTTAAACGCTCCTTTTATAGCTGATGGCAGTCATGAACAAGCAATTTATTTGCAATTTGTTACAAGCAATCAAATTTAAGCGATTTGATTTTCTAGGTCAGCAAAAAGCTTCGCCGGCGTAAAGCTCATTAAAAACGAAAATTTATAGATAGATCTGCGTGTGGCCCGCTTTTTTTCGGAGGGATTAAGACGGAAACTAAATTTAAAAAGCTGATGCACGATCGAAAAAGTGCGTACTCGTATCTCGTTACATCTGATACGCGCCGCAACCGGCGCATTAATGTCGAGTTAAAAAGCTAAAAAGTGGACAAGCCGCGACAGCGGCGTGTACACACAACGTTTATTTATAAGTTGTAAATCAGCTCGAATCAGATCGAATTAGACTGAACAAAATACATAGAAATAACATTAATTTACTATTTTATATTAAATTGCGTGTACGATGGGTTGCCTATAGTCTAAGTGCAATTAATCATGGAAATCAATCATTCCAGTTGATTTTAAGACATTTCATGATTAATTACACAACGAGAACAAGAAAAACTCGCAACTAGTCATAATTAAACGCTCCGTTTGCCAATAAAACAGCCGGTAATTAATCACCGACGTATTTATATTAAATGTATTTACCTTTTACTGGCGAATCTAACTCGGGACGAAATTTATTGCGTTCGTAAACGCTTGCGACTCTCGAAATTCCGAAATGATTAAACATTAACTTAAAATTCAGCGCTGGGAGTCATGGTTAATCGTGCGGCAAGTAATTAATTAAAACTCGTTGTGCAATCGATGCGCGACGCGAGTTAACATATCGTACAACTATGTTAATGCGTTAATATTTTAATAAAATTCTAATGAGCTAATGAATAAATATGAACAAAAATTCGTTTTTTGCATTGTGATTTTAATATTTTTATAAAACGCGTGAAAAATGCTTTGTTGCCGATTTATTTCTGCTGCGGGCTGATTCATAATGTGATTATAGTGGAGGCGCATTCTTTTTCTGAATACTTTTTAACCTCTCGGGCATTTTTTGGATTACAGAACGTTATAATCCAAGCGTCCGACGTGTTATTAACATGTTAACATTGTATAAAGTATGCAAAGCACATAATGAATGGCTTAGGTTAAAAAAATATGAAAAAAACTTTCGATTGAGTCATTAAATACGAATTTTTGTAGTTTAGTAACTGAACAAGTGTTAATATGAAATAAATAAAAATCCAACGGACGTATGTAAAATGAATTGGCGCATTCCGGCGTGCAGTGATTTACGAGTGCTATTTTTAGCGAATCGCTGACGAATATTCGAATAGTCGAATATTTTACAGTGCGTGTGTGTGCACGAGTATCTATTTTCAATTTTTCAATTAACGCCAGGCATTCGCGTTCACTAGCGTATCAAACATTTTACGATTAACACCAAAATCGAAAATTCTGGGTCAGAAATTATTTTTAAATTTTAACTTTTAGCACTAATTAGTTGTAAAATTATTTCATCCTTAATGAATACAAGATAAGCATCCCTTGTTAATCCGCTTAACTTAACCTAACTTCGGAACATCCTGTCGTTAAAAAGCCCACAGCCCTTTTAACTGCGAAAACTTTTGTCCAACTCCACTCAGAACTCAGATCTCGAGTTATTTAAATTGAAGATAAGCCGCCGGTGGAGGTTGAAGTTGAATACAAGTTAATCTAAATTCAAATCCGTCTTAAACAGCATTCGAAACGCGTATTGATAAAATAAACTGATAAATATTACACGCGGAATGGTGGAAAATCTACAGGTGCATGTTGTGTGCATGTAATCGATGCATAATGAATTAATTTAATTAAATTAAACGACGCTATAAACTGCGTCTAACAAGCTGATGAGGCATGTAATGACTTTATATCTCTATCAGATAAATTCTTCAAAAAGCTTCAAAATAAACACAAAAAATAAAATTAATTAACCTCAAGTATAAAGTTCATTATGAAGATAATAAATCTGTAACAAATTGGAACGTGAGATGATTTTTTAATTTTTTTGTTTTTTAGTGTTTTAAGCCTTAAATTTTGATTTTTGAGCAATTTTCTGATTGAATATGCACTTGTGAATGCTCCGTACGCATATCTTGATTTGAAGTGGCTTATAGGCAATAAATTCCACTGTTTATTCAACATCCACACTTCGCATGTCGCATGTCACGGGCCGTAAAGTGTGCGAGGCAGTAAATGAGCGTGTCACGCCGCTTCCACGCGTGTTCGCCGACTTAATGCACATGGCGCGTCGCAAAATATTATTCGAATATGTTTTGACACGCCCGCCTAGTTCGCCGGTGCGAAATGTGTGCGATTTGCATAATTCCGCTGGTGCGGGCATTCGATTTTCGACTTTTGCACCGAATAGCTCTATTTATATTTATGCGCATATCATTTGCTATCGTAATTGGCACATAACATATCATAACATAACATACTCCTAGCAGCATCAGTATATTAGTAACTATGAGTGGGTTTTATTATAGTCACAGTAAAACACACTAAAATACAATGTGTATTACTAATTTTATGCTAATACGTGCATTGTGGCGCCATCTACATAATAATTACATAACTAAAACTATGAATTATTGTCTACACACACTTTAGCTCTAAATTTAACACTTTTTTGGTTTAGTTTTTGAATAAAAAGTAGCCTATGTTATTCTTCATAGTTTAATCTATAATTATACAAAAATTCATAAAAATCGGTTGAGTAGTTTAGGCGTGAAACGCAAACACACAAAATATTTTTTGTATTTTTAATATTAAACACGTTAAAACAGCATTTATAACCAAACAAACTGACTATGAATGAAATATAAGTAAATATTTTTAATATAATACTCAAAACAGTATCATAACTGATTGTTACTTTGAAATTTAATCTGAAAGTGTGAATCGTAACAGTTTACTTCGACTTCTACATTTACTCCTCTTCCTGCAACCTGCCACACTTCGATGGAAACCGCCGGCGGGCCGGCGCAATTTATTATTGAAATAAAGATCAAAGCAACGGGGAAATGAGATACGCGTTGAAGCTATGCGGTAGAAATTCGAATATCCGAATCGAAATCTAACTGCGAGCCGCTGTTGATGTTGTTACTGGTTTACTGGAAGTGCAGTAGCGGTTGTAATCGTCTGCTGCTATCGAAATCAAATTTATAGAGAATTATCGCCGATATTACGACGAATAAAACCACCTAAACATTGATATAACCTAAAAATTCAACATTAACCTAACATAACCTCATTTAAATACTACTAGTGAATACATAACCTTTAAAATGTAAAAATGTAGTTGGGAATTCCCAGAACTTGAGTGCATTGAGTGCGATAAATTCAAAACGTGCACAAAAGATGAAACACATAAAAACAATCGCGACGAATTGTCGAACCGGACTTAATGCCAGCCTAATGGATGCTGCGACATTTGCACATAACCTCAAGGTGATAAAATCGCGTGTTTATTGTCACACGAATGTTGCTTTGTGTACATTTTATTTTTATTGTCATTGTTAACGGGTAATACGTGCCTGGCTGCTCGTCATTTATAAATATTCGTAAAAAATTTAAAAAATTAATATTTTTGCGTGAAAATTTAAAATTAGAGTGTCATTCGATGCTTTCAAAGCTTTTATGCAGATGCAGCACTGCATTCCGCGTTTATTTGCTTCTTTAGCCTAGAATAAATCAAATAATTCAAATTCTGTGCATACAAAATAAATAATGCCATTACACGAGCGGGCAATGTCTATTTTAACACGAATCATATTCAAATGTTTACCAATTTACACAAATGTTTAAATTTATTGGTTTATAAACTCAACTTCATAAGATCTTAGATATTTTGTTTTACACAAATTTATTCCACACATAAATTTGACATAAACATGTCAAAATAAGCACTTGTCATGAATTTACCGAATCGACAAAAACAAATTAAGTTTTTTTCGTTGTTTTGATTTTTTCTTGTTAGCGTTGTGAGTGATGTGACTAATCACACGATTTGCATTCATAGTTTTGTTTTATAAACACTGTAAGCGACTCCCAATTATTTCACGCTCGGATTTGTTTTAATATTCGAATCTTGTGCGTGATGAAGCCGCACGCGAGGAATTCGTGTTTATTGAATTCTTCGTTGGCGTCGCACTGTTTTAGTAGCCGCTGCGCGCGCAGCAGGTGACGACGCATCCTCATCTCGCACGGAATGTTTAACGACTAGTTTTTCAATAATTCCAACCACCGATATAATTAATACTTGTGCATACATCATCCTCATTTCTTTCTTTCACAGTTGAATGAAATGAATGAAAATCTGTGCGCTTATTAAAAATAAAAATGTTTCGTGTTCGATGCTCGTTTATTATCACTTAGTCGACGATCTTCTCGCATTCACATCGTTTGTTTTACTCGTGTTTTCCGCCTTTTCAGACGCTTTTATTTTCTAGGCGCTAGAATTCGTGAGTAATGAATAAAAAACA